GCATAGCCAGGAACCCTGATACTTTGGGGCTTAAGATACTTTAAGCTCTTGAAAGGAATTCACCCAACTCTATAGGTACTAAAGACAAAATTGGATGATGAGTCCTTAGTTTGCCTTCCTAGCCTCAAGAGGCTTTAATTAAATTAATTAATTAATTAGGCAGCTGACCAGTACAGGGATCAAACCCAGTTTGATGTTATCAGCACTATGCTCAACCAACCGAGCCAACTGACCAGCCTCAAGAGGCTTTTAAAAGCCCAATCTGACATTCCTCATGAAAACTTCCAGCAGAGCAAACTTAAAGGAGGGCCTATACTTGTTATTATTCTTGCTGTACTTCTATGAGGGTATTTCAAAAAGTTCCTGGAAAAAAATAATTAGAATATATTATGGGGGGGGGGCAGCAGGTTAACTCAGTTGGTGCTGATAACACCATGGTCTAGGTTTTGATCCCTGTACCGACCAGCTGCCAAAAAACTCAAACCAAAACAAAACAAAAGACAATATGAATCTTTCCATGAATATTTTGAGGTACTCGTGTAAATAATCAGGCCAAGTTTAATGACATTAGACTTATTTTTACAAACAAATTAGTCTTACTTTGATCATCCTTGATAAAATGGGGGTGAATATAGACAGAAAAATCATTTCAGTGGAAAACTATAGTACACCACTGGGCATCAAATTTTAGTCTTGTTCAGTGTCTTTGAGGTTTCCCTGCCACCTAGACTGTATACTGAATTCTTCTGGTTTCCTCCAGTGTCTCACTATGACTCTCCAAACGGTTTCCAGTTTTTCCTCCACTCTTCTGGCTTAGAGTCATGAACATCTAAAATCGCCCATCTTCCCACAGCTATGCAAGCTGAAACTGGACAACTTTTTATAAATCTAAAAGAAGTCACCTTCGTGCCTGCTCCTTGGTGCTCGGTCACTCAGAGAATTCACCAGAAACACCCTATGGCATCATCAGAGATGTCTGAATTGCAAACCAGGAAATCTATTGGATTGCTACTGTTATCCATAGGGCAAACATCTAGAAATCTTCTTGACTGGCTGCACTGTAAACTCAGAAACTGGATTTCCTAGGCCGGCCCGTGGCTCACTTGGTAGAG